CGCCCCGGCCCCTAAAGTAAAAATCCCTCCAAAAAAAAAAAAAAGATCCCGAGAGGAGAATGGAGGAGAAGGGATTGCAGCACGGCCATGCCCCCTGGGGGGTGATTTCTCACTTTCTGTCCCTCTGTCTCTCTCTGTCTTTCTGGCAAGTGCACGCGCCCTATAGCAAAAACCTCTCCAAAAAAAAAAAAAAAAAAAGCCGGGGGTCTCATACCACGAAGTCAGCCACGTGGGATCCAGCCGCCTTAACCTGCAGGCTACGGAGCCAGCACTCGGATTCCTTCTCCTTTGTAGAGTTCACAGAGGGCTCTCGCCAGAGAGAGACAGAGAGAAAGAGAGAGGGGTAGAAAGCACCCCGTAAGGGGGCATGACCCACAAAATACTTTAAGTCACCCTTCTGGACCAGAATTCCAGAAGAGAATTAAGGCCTAATCCCTGCAGACACCAATCCTCCGTAAGGAAATAACCCATTTCTGGGTTGGCGGTGACTACCTTCTGTCCTTGGCAGGGGTGAGCAAATGGTCACATGAATTGTTTTCTTTATTTCTTTCTCTCTTCCTTCCTTTCTTTCTTTTTTTTTAATTTAAATTTATTCACTCAGTTTTTAAATTTGACCAGAAAGAAACATACATACACAGGAAGAGAGAGGGAAAGTGAGAAAGCAAGCCACCAGATCTGGGACTAGAACCATGGTCAGCCATGTTGGAGTGTCCAGCGCCTTAACCACCACGCCACCTGCTGGTCCCCTCTTTCTCTCTCTCTTTCTTTTTTTTATCACTGAGCAAATGTACTTACCAGAGAGACAGAGAGAGAGAAGGTGAGAAATCACCCCCCTGGTGGGGGATGGCCACACCGCAATCCCTTCTCCTCCATTCTTCTCTCGGGATCTTGGGCACACGTGCACACGCGCCCGGCGTGAATTTAAGCCACCGGGTCTAGGATTCGAACCATGGTCGGCTACATGGGAGTCCAGCGACATAGCCATTACACCAAACACCAACTGCTGGTCCCCCATTTGTTATCATTCTTCTTTATTTTTTTTTTCTTTTTTTATTTGACCTGAGAGAGACAGAGAGACAGAGAGACAGAAAAAAAGGGAAAGCAAGAAAGGAAGCTGCCGGATCCACGACTGGAACCACAGTCAGCCATGTGGGAATCCAGGGCCTTTAACCCGCACGCCACCTGCCGGCCCATCTTATTATTTTTGTAGAGAGAATTTTGCTACAGGGCGTGTGTGCTCTCTGGAGAGACAGATAGCGAAAAATCACCCCCTAAGGGGGCTGGTCATGCTGCAATCCCTTCTCTTCCATTCTTCTCTTGGAATTTTGGGCATGCACACACATGTCCCCAGCATGAGTTTCAAGCCCCCAGGTCCGGGACTAGAACTGCAGTGGGCCATGCAAGAGTCCAGCAAAGTAACTATTATACCATCTGCTGGTCCCTGCAAAATTTCTTTAAGGCCTAATTTTCCCATGGAACCCTGTTGACTAAGGCCGCTAGACTTAAAAAAATTAATGGCCGCGGACCAGTAGTTGGCGTAATAGCAATGTCGCTGAACTCCCATGTAGCCAACGGTGGTTCGAGTCCCAGACATGGTGGCTTAAACTCCCACCGGGTGCATGTGCGTGTGTACCCAAGATCCCGAGAGGAGAAGGGATTGCGGCGTGGCCATCGCCCCTGGTGGGGGTGACTTCTTGCTTTCTGTCTCTCTGTCTCTCTCTGTCTTTCTGCTGAGCGCACGCACCCTATAGCAAAAAATAAATAAATAAAATAAATTATTCAAAAAAGAAAATTATATTAATGGCTGTTGGGGTCAGCAGGTGGTGTGGAAGTTAAGGTGCTGGACTCCCACATGGCTGGCGGCAGTTCAAGTCCCAGACGTGGTGACCTGAAAGTCATTCTGGCTGCACGTGCATGCATGCCCAAATTCCCAGGAGGAGACTAGAGGAGAAGGGACTGCATTGTGGCCCTTTCTCTTGGGAGGTGATTTCTCACTTTCCCTCTCACTGTCTCTCTGTCTCTCTCCAGCAAGCGCATGTGCCCTGTGGCAAAATCCTAAACAAAAATTTTAAAATGGCTATCTTGGGACCAGCAGATGGCGCAATGGTTACATTGCTGGACTCCCACGTAGTTGATCACAGTTCGAGTCCTGGACTTGAGAGTTAAAACTTACACCGGTGCATGTGCGTGCATGCCCAAAATTCCGAGCGGAGAATGGAGAAGGGATTGCAGTGTGGTCATCCCCTTTGGGGAGGTGATTTCTCGCTTTCTGTCTCTGTGTTTCTCCGGTGAGCAAACACGCCCTATAGCAAAAGCTCTTAAAAAATAAAACAAACAAAATGACTATCCTTTTCAAATCTAGAAATTTCTTTTTATTTTTTTTTCTATAGGGCACGCGCGCTCGCCAGACAGACAGAGAGAGACAGAGGGACAGAAAGCGAGAAAT